GCCTCGCAGCATTGAGGCCGGCCTCTGCCCCACCGGTATAAAGTACCGGTACAGCCTCACTTGGAGGCATCGAACCACCGGCACTCTACCGGTGCGTTATGGTCAGCGCCAGAGCGCTGTTTGATGCGCTAAGTTTAGCGCAGGAGCGAGCAAGGAGCAACAGCGGCAGCGCAGCATTAGCGCAGCGGCAAGCGGAGCAGCAGCAGGGCGACTGAGCCAGCACGGCGGCCATTGCCGCCTGAGGTACCTGGGAGCGGAGGACCTCTCCTCCCTCCCTCGTCAGCTCTCTCTCTCTCTCTCTCCCTCTCTCGTCCTCCTCCTCCTTCTTCTTCTTCTTCTTCTTCAGACTAGAGACTTATACTAGTTGGACAGAGATCAGAGTTGGACTTCGGTGATATGAGACTGTGGTACTTACCTGATTGGAGACTTGGAGATTGTTGAGGTTGATACTCGGCTGCATCACAGTTGGACACCGGTTACATCTGGACTCTAGATCTCCGACATTGGTGACCTATGGGCCTCGACATTTTGACCTTGTTGTATGACATTTTGGACTACCATATCGGAGACCTATCACACTCTATCTATCGGTGTTGTCTACCTCCCCACCTCCTTCGTTTCTCCTCCCACCTTTCATCTGTGAATGTGTGTACGGGATCTGGGCGTCGTCCTTGAATGGCCCAGACCCCACCATCTCACGATTGTATGTATGTGGAATGATGCTATGTGAGTCAGTCTATGTGAGTCAGTCCGTTTATCAGACTTCCGCTGCATATATGCTCATCCTACATTGGTTGATCTTTGGTTCTGCCCATACTCATTGAAGTATGCAACAGTTTTGGTATCGGAGCAGACCAATAACGGATCTGCTCACCAGGTAAGTCCGTTTAGAATTGGGTTATTTCGTTTGATCTTCTAAATCGGCGCTGAAGTATTATCAAGTTCAAAGTTGCAAATTTTTTTTTATTTTTTTTTTCGGTATTCTGGTTATTTCGGCATTTCCGTTTCAATTCAGTATTTGGACTTTTATTCGGATTTCTGTTGTACACCGGTATGCTGTTTAATTAGGGTCCAAGAAATTGATACTAATCCAACATGCTGTTTGATTGGATTTCTAATTAGGAATTCGTAAGTGGGGTTGAATCAGTATCATGTTTGACATTCGGTTGTTCTGACTTCCATTCAGCATTCCGTTTTTCGGCATTCTGTTGTAAATCCTATATCACGTTTTTCTTTTGGGGATTTCCGTTGTCTTTCAGTATTGGAAATTAGGGTTACGAAATCTTTGGTTTTTTTGATCAACTTGGGAAATTCGAAAGTTTTGGGACTGTAAATCCGGAAATTTCGCGGAAACGCGGAAAATTAGGGTTGGGACCGAAATTTCCGCGATTTTTTTTTTCGTTCCCCTTGTTGGAGAAATTCCGAAAATAGGGTTAGACCTTTAAAAATCGGATTTTGACGGTGGAAATTCCCGAAAATTCACGTTTTTGAAAATTCGAGCGTTTTTCTTCTGAAATTTCCCRAAATTTCTTCRAGCACACTAATCCGTAYTTGACCCTCAAACTGCAACTTCCGGGTAGTTCACTCATTAACGGTGAACTCCCGGACTCAAGTGATCTCAAAGAGACCTAATCATAACACCATTCAAATTCGTTATTATCATGATTGCAATGATTGGTTATTGATTTATCGTTTTGCAAATATTGATTATTGGTTATCTTTTGGATTATCATTAAGAATTATTATTTCGTTACTTATCATTAATTAATTTTACTGATTAAATCATTATTAAATTCTTATTACGAATTTTGGAGTGATGTACAGGAAATTTATTTTTCTGTTTGATTAGGTGTCTACAGTCCATCAGTGGGACAGGGGATAGTATGTATATTGCTTGATTGTTCTAACCCTGTTCCCACTCTCCCTACCCCCCTGTATTCTGTGAACACCGGCACCTCTCAAGTACCGCATCAGTTCAGACTGATGTCGATGGAACAGGACACCGGGGCACTGCCACGGCGCAGTGCCAGGATCGCAGTTCGTGCCCGCCCTGCGGTACCTCCAAGACCCAAGAGATTCAGCAGATGGACGACTCCAGTGGCATCAAGTACGGCATTGACAGTACAACACACCACCGGAGATCTTCCCGCATGCCCAGTCCGAGAGGCCAGCGAGCCTTTGGCTGACCATCGTGGGCGGCTACAGGCATTTACAGACGCCATAGCCGCCGCCGAGGCTCAGCAGGCTGCGGCAGAGGCAGAACATCAGCGGCTGGCCAATGAGGCGGCAACCGAAGCTCAGCGGACAGCTGAGACTGACGAAGCGGCACGAAACAGACGGAATGCCGCCAGCACGGAGTCCCTGATTGCTAGTGAGCATCAGTGGACAACGATACTCCAAGGCATGATCTTTGTGCCTACGGAAACGCAGGCGGAGCCGACACAGGCGGAGGCAGAGAGAAGTAACCTGGCTACCGTGATGTTGAACGTAATGAGGAGAGTAATGTGGAACAACAAACTACTGCAGGCACACCTGCACGCGGAACGACAGCAAAGACAGCAGTACCAGCAAGACCTGGCCGCTGTAACGGCCAGCGTCCGCGACGCAGCAATGCAGCAGCAGCAACAGCTGATGAACTCTACCATCGCACGCATCAACGGCATTG